AATCACATAATATAAAAATTAACTACAAATAAATAAACATATTAATTTATAAGTAACTAATTTTTAATACGACGTTATTGCTGTAGTAAGTAGGGGCCTAACGTAGTACGTAGTACGTAGCCACAAATAAATGATAAATTTTCAATTTTATTTATGAACTTTCAACATTTTCTTTATTTTTTTTCTGTGTGCTGTACCTAAATATTCAATAATAGTCAATAATAGTTGATTAAAATTGTTAAATACACTGTTCAAATGTATTATTTTTGTTAATTGTTTTATACATAGAACAACTGTGAGACGACACAAATGGATTTTATGATGACAAACAGTACTCAATGGGCGGTCGGGCCGATACAATTTTAATGATAAATGCGATCTATACATATATAATAAAAATAATATGGTACACATATCATAACATCTCATTAGATACTCAATTCTACATTAGATTAAAATTGCCAAAAAAAAAAAATCAAGTTAATTTTATCCTGATAATTCGATTACGTGTTGTATAACAATATTACTATGTTGTTTTACCAGAATGAATTGTTTGCATCAAACTTGATTCATGTGTTTTGTGCTATCTAATAATATATCGTAAGTCACAATACTTAGATTGAAATAATCTTCAAATACAAAAAAAAATTCCAACTAGTTTTAAAATAATTTACTTTAGTAAAAAGTTTGTTTATTACATTTTAAAAAACATCCACACAAACAGTCGTTATATAAAAATTACAAAAAATAATTAACGTTTAAATAATTTAATCGGTTATCCTTCGTAGCAAAAAAATCGGTACGTCTTAGGTAAGTCGACAATCAATAGTCAACACTCTCACACTGAACATGATGCGATTACGATTTACACATTTTGATGGTCAAAAAAATTAATTAAGTCCTACTACCTTTTCAGAATCTCGTTGAACGAATAACTATTACTCGAAATAATATGTGGAGAATGATATAGTTATAAAAGGCCCATTCAAGGTGTATACTGGCTTGTTTTTTTAATAGTACCGTCAGGTATTCAAAACCTTATTTTTGGAATTATTTAAAGAAATACTTATAACACTTTAATATGTACAGACCATAATATTTTACTTGAGATTTTTTGTTTATTTTAATGAGTGTCCATTTTACTTTAAATTAGTTAGCAAGTAATTTTTTTACAGTTATTGTTGATGTATTTAAGTTACATTTTGAACAAGTAGTTTCCAACTTATTGAACTATATGAATTATAAGCCATAACACTATAATAGTACTAATAGTCCTTGGTACTAGTGGCGAACCATCGTATTATACATTCAATTAAAATAGATGTACATTTTTTATATTAATTGGTTAGTCCTGTTATTGTTAGGTCTTTTTATCCTGACAATTTTTACAAATTGTTATAAAATGCTAATAGATAAATATAGCTTACTTACTATACTTTGTAAATTAACTAAAAAGCAAACTGTACATTATCCTCCCTGTCATATTTAATCCTTTATCGAACTTTTTTTCGTATTTATATCACATATTTCCTCATATAATGCGTAGTAAATTATATTATCCTTAGTACATTATGTTTAATCACTCAGAAAATCACTTGTTCAAATTTAGTTTTGGACATAATAATATTAAAAAAAATCATTTGCTCAATACTTTATAGTAAAAACGAATAGTTCTCATTTTAAAAATAGAAGTTTGTATTACCAAAGTAAATAGTAAATAGTATAAATAGTACAAAAAATTTAAAGTTTTAAAAAAACAGTCTTTAATTATATTTAAAAGTTTCAACAATCGAAAAATCAGATTTAATGACACAGAATAATTGCATGATTAAAGAGGAAAAAGAGGTGAGCATATATGGTGAACCCTCTATAGTACATATTATGTTATATAATCATTAAGAGTTGATGTTTAAATACAATTATTAATGGCACGGTATTATTTATTTAATGCAAATATTACAAATACAAGCAAATTAAAAATACAAGGAATCAAAAAAAATATTTAATAAAATAGTAATACTAAATTAGTAGAAAGACTAAGAAGTATTAAAATATATAAAAAAGTAATTAAATACTTTTACCAAAATTCTTTACAATACAGTACAATAATCAATTATTTTAAACGGTACACAGCTATTGAGTACAATTTATACCTGAGCGAGAAAAATACAATATTATACTAATTGAGTTACAGTAAAACGAAATATAAAGCGATTGAGCCCGAACTCGGAAAAAGTAAAATATACCAATCGAGTACTTGAGAAAAATAAAACTTTTTCACTTAAAAGATGCCAAGACTTATAGCACCAAACAACATTAAAATATGCTCTCACGCACGCCCCTAAAAATATATGTGTTGTGTTCAACAGTACATTTTTATTGTTCTGTTTGAAATAGAAATCCGAAAATTGTTAAATACTAAAGTAGAACATGTACATTTGAAGCGTACTGCGTAGGCACGTGACTACGTGATTTCGTTTTTTACACCACACTATTAATCAGATTTTTCCAAATTAATATGAAAAAAAACTTCTTATACCTGCAGTTCTAAGCCTATAAAAATCGGAAGGGAAATGTATTTTTCAAAGCTTAAGGGGTCAGATAGTATTAAAAATAGAGTCATTAAGTAGGTACTTATTATAATTTAATTATTTCGGGACCACCACAATTAGAGGGTAACTCAAACAATATGGGACTCAAGTCATTAAGATTTTTTTTACTCAGTCGTATGCAACGATTTTAAAATGTATAGTAAACAATATAGCCTAACATATTAATATTATAACACAATAAACACTTTCAATACAAGACTAATATCGTAATAACATGTAGAAGTAAATATATTACATACAAATGAGAGTAATGTTAAATATAATAAATTAAAATTACTGTAACATGCTGTTATTAATATATTTTATTGAAAATTAATTAAGATGAATAATTATGATATGCTAAAAACATATAAAATCATACATTTGATTTTTGTTTTTTTGAAATTCATCTCCCTGAAATTCAATAATATAGCATATTGTTAATATAATCAAAAATATTAACTTAATATTATCAATCTTTAATGACAATATTTTAATATGGTTGAATTAAAATTATTTATTTCATACACACAACTATATTAAAGATAAACAGCTAGTTACATGTAGGTACTTTATTGTATTATAATGTTGTTAATTAAGCTTAAGAATCTCAATTAAAATATTTTTTAGTTTAGGTGCATTATTATATATATGTATATATTTTTAAACTATATTAAATTCAAAATTATAATAAAACTTAAATATTACATTATGTATAAAAAATAATTAGTAAGATTTATATTATTAAGATATTTTTGTAATTACCTGTAGAGATTACTGAATTGTCTTTGGTTTATATTTTTAAAAATTCTTCCGATGACAAATGTAATATTTTAAAATCATTTATTACCGTAGAGCAATAAGTTTGACTAAAATCAGTAGTATAAATCGAGCAGTTAGAAACTATATTGTTTTGATCGTAAGTTGATTTGTAGATTTTATTATGACATTTTACGAGAAAACTTTATCTGAACCCAATGAAAGTAGTTCAACAAACTATAATTTTCAATTCAAGGATGTAATAAATTAGCATCAAATATTATTTTATAGTTTATTATTATATTTTGAATATATTTAATCAATATAATATTATGTACACCTAACATAATATATTATGCATTTTCTTACCTACTATACATATTATCATTAGATTATTATCCAGTGTGTGCTTACTGCTTAATTCTTTGAATTTATTAAACTAATGTGCACATTTATAAAATATAAATCACCACCAGAATATACGTTCATAAGAATAATCTAATGATGAATTATATTCATATTTTTTTCTCGACTCTTTTGATTATTTATTAAGTACAAAAATAAAACATTTTTAAATTTCTATGTCTTTAAAAAAAAACTTTTATTTGTATATTATCTCACTGTTATATAAATGTATTTATATGTATATAATATATATTTCTCATCTTTTGTATAGTATTATTTAAAGTTTAAACAGCAGATATCAAAATTATTTTTTAATGGTTACTTAAAATATGTAATAGTTATAATAAGTACACATTATTCTTCTAACTGATTTGCATCATACTTATTCTAGCAAATGAAACTCAACTATTAACCAATACGCAATAATATTGACCGTATTATAACTTACGTATACATCATATATATTTAAAATAATAATATTGGGTCTTGGTAGACGTAAGTATGTAATCGTATGTATTTTCTCGTGGTTACAAATTAATTCTGAGTTTATGAGCTTAGCTTGGGAATAAATTCTAGTTTATTTAGTTTAATTCATAAAAGGAATTTTATACTTGTTTAATGTTAAAAAATATTTCATTTTCTCTAACACAAAATATAGAAATGATTTTGTATAAAACGTTTGGGTTAATTCTATAAGTAGTTAGTAATAATATAAACTTAAGTAGTCACATATTGTAGCTTTACCTACACTTTTATTATACATTTTAATATATGATGACTTTTACAATATTAAAACAACTTTATCCAAACAGTAAAACATATATATTAGGGATTCAATCCGATTTTAACACAATATATTTACTTGTATTTAATTGAAGTAAAATATTTCAACGGATACAAAATATCGAAATTTGATCAATATAATCGCCAGATTAAAAAACATATAAGTAATAATGTGATAAAATCTAATTAAATTTTATTGTTTTGTTCTATCACTTTTAAAGCAATAACCAAAAATACATGATATTTTTCAAAATATTATAGCCCTTTTTGGACTTTTTATAATTTACCTATGTAGACATTTACAACTTTTTTTATTTTTATGGATTCATGTTAATTACATTGTTGTTCCTGTGTCAAAAAGTTTCTCTTTTTTCATATGTATGAAAAAATACTAACTCTATACTTTTTTAGTTAACTATTATTGACAATTGTTACAAACGAATCTTTTTTAAATGATTTCAGATTGGTAGTCCAGAAACTATGAAGTACACAACTTCAAATTCCTTGCAATTGAGCAGGCTAACAGTAACGCTGAAATTAGATCAGAGCCATTTCAAAGACGGCCGTAAGCTTTTACTACAGTGCACTGCTCTAATAAATACTTTGTACAAGCAAACTTCGGAACTTAGGTTACCGATAAAATCAACAGAGCCAGTGCCTGAAAAAGGTCAGTATGTTATTTTAAGTTGTATAAGTGATGTTGTTGTATAACTTATTAAAAACTTAGAAAATATAATATAGAATGTTAGTTTTTATATTCTGGAGAGATGGTTGTATTGATTTTACTAAAAAGTGTGGATTTTTTTTTTTTTTTTTTTTTTTTTTTTTTTTATTAAAAAAGCATTGATCTTCAAATAGCTGAAAAGGAGTCAAAATATTTCAAACACATTATGGTGTATAGAAAATGTCAATATAAACTTTTCGTAAATATTTTAAGTATAGGTTATTTTTTTAGAATTACATTAAAAAACAAAATCAATTTTTCGAAAAATGATTAAAATCTCAGTTTTTCCTTAATTTTTTCTGTTCTTCCTGTTCTTCTGTTTTCTTTAAAAAACTATCTGGAATTTTTTTTTTGGTTTCAACCCCTAAAGTACCAACAAGTTTCACTTTCATACCAGACCAGTTGAAGAAGTAAAAATATTGTACCTACAATGAATAAAATAAAATATGTATTATGTACATATTCGTATCGTTATAATATCGTCAGTCCTTTTGTGGGGATGATATGTATGAAATCCGATTAAAAGATGTATATTTAATATATTATAAAATTGGGTTTGCATGCAATAATTGATCAAATTATTTAACTCTATTGTAGATTTGACGATTAAAAAAAATTTCTGAAATATGAACTTCAAACAAATATACATGGTTTTCATACATTTGGGACATTCGTGGAATATCCACTTTCGCCGCCTTAGTATACACATTATATAAATGAAAGTAATATTGTCAAATGGTGATTTGTTTTCTGGATGTTAAAAAATAACGAGTAGATATATTATTTTCTATATTAATACATCCACTCAAATGTTAGATACTCCATCACCATACGCATCACACAATGATTTTGTGTATCGATGAATTTCATTCCGAACTCAAAACAAATAATGAAATACGTTTTGTTTTTTTATGTAAGCTTATCAATTTTCATTTATTACATAATATATTAAATTAGTAAATTTATATTTAATGCATACTAATTTTTATTTTTTGAGCAATGCACATAATATAAACATCTTTATAAAATTTATTTCACATAATTTCACATATTTTGGAATTTTTAGTACGTATTTCACTATTTTTGAGTGAATTTAATTTTCACCCGGATTTACAACCAAGATTTTAAATGTTCTATAATTTAACCAAAATACCAATAAGTTCATTATATCTATTAGTCATTAGATAATGTAAAGAGTAGGTCTGGGTTGATATTTTTCAGAAGCTTAAAAGTATAAACCAATGAATAAAAATAGGTATAACGTAGACCTTCAAATAAAAAATGAAATAATAATATTACGCTAAGTTAAGATGTATAAACATTGATAGATTACAAAAATAATAATTTAAAATGTCAAAAAAGTACCTTTATTGTTACATTATATTTTATTGAATATAATACTATACAATGTATGTGCATTTTAGATCGACAAGATGTATGATCTTTAAAATGACAATTTTATTAAATAATGTTCTATAATGAATACTGGTTACCCCAGCTTGATAAAAAACTTACTCGTAACAATAAAAAACCTCGTTACACATATTTAAGGAAATAAGAAAAGAAAATGTTCAGCTTTAGTCTTTATGTTTTTTTTTTTATCATACCGAATTTAAATGTATTTAAAACTTTAAAATGTACCTACACTAGATCCATATAATCTGTGGCATTACAAACTGTTTTGTGTTATTTTTTCGTTTTTCTTCAACCAACATTCTACTTGTGTTAAATGTTGTGAAATTTGTGAATATTCTATAGTATCTGCATTTAGGTACATTATTTGGTCGGTGTATTATGGTAAATTCTAAATAGGTAACACAATTCTACCATGTTACATAATATTATTACAAATTACTTATAATCTTACTCTATCGTAAAATATGGAATTACAATTTTCACTGGAGTGTTAAAAATGATATTGAAATATCTTCGTAAATCAATATTTCAATGTACAATATAACGATGCCGAAAGCGTTTTTAAAAATATGATTGAGAAATAAATTGAAATTTAATTTTGTTCATAGTTAAATATATATGTTAAATTCTATGTAGCTACAGATTTTTTTCTGGACATACAGTTGCGGATAGGCCCACAGGGAATTCGGTATTTTTTCGGTAGGCCTTATCCTGTGTTGACGGGTGGGGGCCCTAGGATTATTTATCAAGTACTTAACCTCGTGTGATGAGAATTGAAAATAATTTTAATAAAGATGTAAATTGACTAATTTAATAATTTTAACCACTCTACAAGAAAAATACCATTATCACCTAGCTACAAACAATATTTATTAAAAACTAATATAATATTAGTGTTTAAGCTGGGCGTTAAAACTCTTACCAGCCGCATTCCCACATTTATCTTACTTAAAAGACTATCATTCCCACTTCTTTATCTTTCATTATTTTTAAGTTCACCCAGATCAATTTACCAACGAAAATGTTCGACAACAACAACACTATCATAATACATTTACACATTGTTACAATCCTATTTTAAAGTCTATCGAAACAGGATATATTTTTAACCATGCATTATACATGTTGTATTCACCGTAAAATGATTAGGCGATGAAAAAGAATCACTAATGCTACTGTGTTAATTTATTTAACAATACCTATTTTTTTAAATTCATGTTGGCCATTTTATATTTTAATGAAAATATCAGTTAGAAGTTGCTTTTCATTTTACTAAAAACCGTGATTACTTTTTTATCACAAATATACTTATATGGTGTAACAATTAACAAAATCTACATTGAATATGCTCGAATTTTCGTTAATTTTGAATGAGTAATGTTAATTTATATCCGAGGTGTTAAGCATGAAAGGCGAATAAGTTAACCGTAAACCGAAATTTTCAAAAAGTCAACTGACGCCGTGGGATTAATAATATGATGGCACCGTACTCGCTGGATAGTAATAAACAATGTTTTGTTTTAAACAATCGGCTATGTTACCGGACGAAATTCGAAATCAGCTCACTTGTAATTTATTTTTCCAACTACCCATATCCACACCTAAAACCTGCAATAATATGGCTGAATCTGAATCATATAACATTGAAACCGCTGTCTGCATCGAAACTACAATAAAATACATCATTGAAAAGATCATAAATGAAATAGAATACGAAAATATGCGAACAGAGTTAAGCCTTTTTGACAATATTATGAAGAGGACCGAACCGCTGGGGACATAGCGACGCTCCTAGGTTATGCGATGAAGTTTGCAGGCAGCGACGAGGCGTCGATCGTCGGCCAACCAGACGAAGAACCCTGGAATGGACCGGATGAGCCGAGAATAGAAAACGCCGAGGTCACGCGGTCGATCATCGACCAACTGGATGAAGAATCCTGGAACAGACCGGTCGAGCCGGTAATAGGAGACTCAGTGGTTGCGCCTGTTGAGGTGGTAGTAGAGCAATATGACGAGACAGTGGACGTCACACCCGCAAGGGGATCCGAGGTTAGGAACAGTTTCGGGTATTTGATTGGTTGGCTGGACCCGGGGGCAAAACCAATTGTACTCGCACCCGAAACGCACGGAATTCGTCTCCGCCGCTTGGAGAGGCATCAGAGGAGCCGTACGAGGATTGTGTTGTTGCTCTCCGAAGGGAAGGCGTCCGAAAGTCCCCCGCCCCCCTGCCGAGGGCAGCAGACACGGTGAGGCGACTTTGAGTCGAGTAAAGTTACGTGAAAATGCATTTTTAGGGTTATGGGTGGTATGTCGCCAATACACGTTCTCCGGCCACCGGCGGTGGCGAGACGGGATAGCGGACGTCACGAGCTCGAGGACCCTCTGGCGGCGAGGCTGACTGCTGGCTGCTTCTGAACGACGACACGACGGCGCCGCCGCCCGCGCTACCAGTGACAACTGCAGTAGTGCAGCACGTGGCGGCTGCGGTGGGGACCGAAGAACTCACGATGGGTGAGCGATAGAAGGCTATAATTAAAGAGTAGCTAAGAACAAAGACGTCAGCAGCTCCGGACCCGACGGAACGAAAAGTTTCAGGGTTCGGCGGTGCGCGACTCCGCGGCAGAGCCTCCGATTCCACAAGCACCGAGATTATAGTCTTCGACGCTCGCTCCGAGCTTAGGTCACCGTTTGTCGCCGGCACGACAGTCAACGTCTTCAAAACCTGCAGGACTATCACTCGCACAACATTAGCACCCTAGGCACTCGTCGTCAATCTTGTTTTCGTCCGCCGCTATGGTCGTCTTCCCCCCTCGAGCCGAGGCGCAGGCGACTCTTGTCCACCCCGCAGGACGGTCATGAGATCGCTGTATTGGTGACCAGTAGCCATTTACTTCCAGACATTTTTTGCGGCACCCATTTGCCATCACGTACCCCCCACGTCGCCTCGTCTTATCTGATGCCCTTTTTTTTTGTTTAATTTATATATTGTTTACTGTTTTTTTTTTTTGCAATTTATGCTTTGTATTACATTTTTTCATTTTTTCGGCATACAACTAACTACAAAATTTGAATAGAGTTAAAAGCATTTTTAAGCTTTTTTTTCTATTGTGAACATGGTTCTATTAAAAATAAACATTTTGTTTACACAGTAATATGTCGTTTCTTATTTTACGTTGTACAATTATGAATATGATTTTATTTATTTCAACATAATAAGGGCTCATGAAGAATATTAACCAATTTTTTTATTTTATTATTTAAGTACCAAATTTTCAGAAGAAACATCATCTAGCAGATAATATTAGCGAACCTGTAAAGTGTTGTGTCGTTTGTTGTTTTAGTTAACTATAATTTGTACACTAATACTTATCCGGTTCTTTATTTATGTTATAAACTACTTTATCATTTTCAGTCACACAAGTAGGTTGTGAACGGGATTTTTCCAAATTAAAATATATTAAAAATTACTTGAGAAACTCAATTACTCGAGATCATTTAGAATGTTTTATACTCATAAATGTAGAAAA